TCTCCTCTGTCGCCTCCTTCTCTCTCTCCTTCTTCAATTGCTGTATCTTCTCTGTCGCCTCCTTCTCTTTCTCCTTCTACAATTGCTGTACCTCCTCTGTCGCCTCCTTCTCTCTCTCCTTCTACAATTGCTGTATCTCCTCTGTCGCCTCCTTCTCTCTCTCCTTCTTCAATTGCTGTATCTCCTCTGTTGCCTCTTCCTCTCTCTCCTTCTTCAATTGCTGTATCTCCTCTGTCGCCTCCTTCTCTCTCTCCTTCTACAATTGCTGTATCTCCTCTGTTGCCTCCTCCTCTCTCCTTCTTCAATTGCTGTATCTCCTCTGTCGCCTCCTTCTCTCTCTCCTTCTACAATTGCTGTATCTCCTCTGTCGCCTCCTTCTCTCTCCTTCTTCAATTGCTGTACCTCCTCTGTCGCCTCCTTCTCTCTCTCCTTCTACAATTGCTGTATCTCCTTTGTCGCCTCCTTCTCTCTCTCCTTCTTCAATTGCTGTATCTCCTCTGTCGCCTCCTTCTCTCTCTCCTTCTTCAATTGCTGTATCTTCTCTGTCGCCTCCTTCTCTCTCTCCTTCTACAATTGCTGTACCTCCTCTGTTGCCTCCTTCTCTCTCTTCTTCTTCAATTGCTGTATCTCCTCTGTCGCCTCCTTCTCTCTCTCCTTCTTCAATTGCTGTATCTCCTCTGTCGCCTCCTTCTCTCTCTCCTTCTTCAATTGCTGTATCTCCTCTGTCGCCTCCTTCTCTCTCTCCTTCTTCAATTGCTGTATCTTCTCTGTCGCCTCCTTCTCTCTCTCCTTCTACAATTGCTGTACCTCCTCTGTTGCCTCCTTCTCTCTCTCCTTCTTCAATTGCTGTATCTCCTCTGTCGCCTCCTTCTCTCTCTCCTTCTTCAATTGCTGTATCTCCTCTGTCGCCTCCTTCTCTCTCTCCTTCTTCAATTGCTGTATCTTCTCTGTCGCCTCCTTCTCTCTCTCCTTCTACAATTGCTGTATCTCCTCTGTCGCCTCCTTCTCTCTCTCCTTCTTCAATTGCTGTATCTCCTCTGTCGCCTCCTTCTCTCTCTCCTTCTTCAATTGCTGTATCTCCTCTGTCGCCTCCTTCTCTCTCTCCTTCTTCAATTGCTGTATCTCCTCTGTCGCCTCCTTCTCTCTCTCCTTCTTCAATTGCTGTATCTCCTCTGTCGCCTCCTTCTCTCTCTCCTTCTACAATTGCTGTATCTCCTCTGTCGCCTCCTTCTCTCTCTCCTTCTTCAATTGCTGTACCTCCTCTGTCGCCTCCTTCTCTCTCTCCTTCTTCAATTGCTGCATCTTCTCTGTCGCCTCCTTCTCTCTCTCCTTCTTCAATTGCTGTATCTCCTCTGTCGCCTCCTTCTCTCTCTCCTTCTTCAATTGCTGTATCTTCTCTGTCGCCTCCTTCTCTCTCTCCTTCTTCAATTGCTGTATCTCCTCTGTCGCCTCCTTCTCTCTCTCCTTCTTCAATTGCTGTATCTTCTCTGTCGCCTCCTTCTCTCTCTCCTTCTTCAATTGCTGTATCTTCTCTGTCGCCTCCTTCTCTCTCTCCTTCTACAATTGCTGTACCTCCTTTGTCACCTCCTTCTCTCTCTCTCTGGTCACCTGTCTCTCTCTTATCGTCTCCTTGGCCATGTCCCTCTTCCTGATATATATAAAAATCTCAGTTAATGTTCAAATGGTTTGAGAGAGGCTGTATATCCTAATCAGTTTTGGAGAATGCATGTTCCCTCACCAAAAAGTTGGAAAGCATTTTAAACACCTTTTTATATAAAAAATAATCATAATAATAATAATATTTAGGGCTGCCAATCGATAAAAAAAAAAATCGAATTAATTATATACTCTGATTAATTAATCTAAATTAATCACATGCATCCATTTTTGCTATGAACATATCTTAAAAACAAGTTTGGCAGATGAGTGAATCAATTAACAGCCAAACCAACATTATAGACTTTAAAGTTCAACGTGTCTCTTTTTTATTATAATTTTCCATTTGGGTCAGCATAGTGTCTGGTGTCAGATTTTAGCACAATAAATGCAAATGACTGAAGTTACTACTCATTTTCAATGACATGTGCAGAGTAAGCAACCCTAACACCAAGGTAATGTGTGGAATATCACCTATGATTTATCCTTTTTTGGGCCATTCAAACATGTAGATTTTTATTCACATAATTACTAGGCTGTTGCCTTTTCTATCCAGTAGGTGGCAGTTCAGGATAAGAAATAGCAGTTCAAGAAAATAAACTAAATAGTAGGAACAAAGAAATTAAACCAGCATAGCCTACAAGTGCAAATGGAAATGTAATGTGTGAAGTTACTGGAATGGAAATAAATGTAACCACCTTCTACACACTTTTGAAGACATTTTGTTTCAAGTGTGCAACAAATGTAGTCAATTTATTGTATGTGTGTACAGTACAGGCTGTTATGTGGGTGGCGGATGAACCCAAGTGCAGACAGTATGCAATCAACAACGTTTATTTAACAGACAGAAAACAGGGAAAACAAAGCCCACGAGGGGGCAAAACAAGACAGAACTATGGTGACTAACTAGACAACGACACTGACAAAATTCTAGAAAACAAACAACACATCGAGAGAAACTAACAAAGACTAGACTTTCAAAATGACTTTCAATGACAAGACTTTCACAGGGTACTCACAAGTAACATATGACAATGAACCGACAAGAGACAGTGAAACACAAGGGGATAAAATAGGGAGACTAATCATGACATGACAGGTGACACAGATAAAGCAATAATGACTAAATCAGGAAAACAAGGGGGCGGGGTAAAGAGACGAGACAACGCAAGCACATGCCACAAACAAATGGCCATGTGCTGCACATGAAACATGGGTCTGCCATGATCCTGCCACAAGACCAGTGAAATCAAAGACAAGATGGCAGAATCATGACAGAACCCCCACCTTAAGGAGCGGCTACCAGACGCTCCTCAAGGGGAAACTAAACACAAGACAAGACAGACTGTGACATAGATAAAAACCAACAAAACATGGAAAACACTAACAATGGCAAACATGAATAAACAATAACAGGGTTAGGATGAAACATCAAAAACAACATACAAGGCAAGGGAGGTGGAGGAAACACAGAGTCCTTGGGAGACAGTCCAGGGTGGATGGGCGGGGCAGGGGTCTTGGGTCTACGGGACGAGGGCTGAGGATGGGGAATCCGGGGGGACTCGGCTGGAGACACATGAGGAGAGGACTTGGGCGAAACAGTCCGGGGTTTAATGGTGACAGGGGAAACAGTCCGGGGACAAGTGGAGACAGGGACGAACGGTGAAACAGTCCGGGGACTAGTGGAGACAGGGACAAATGGTGAAACAGTCCGGGGACTAGTGGAGACGGGGGAGACCGGGAAAACAGATGGGGATACTGCATTTGAGGGAGCAGCAACAGGCTCAGACATGGAGGACACAGAGGATGAGGTAACGGGACTCCTGACAGGGGACATGGCAGGCGACAGGGCAGGGCCGGGTGTAGCGCTCACGGCGACAGGCTCGGGTTCAGCGCTCAAAGGACCAGGCGTGGGTCTGACGCTCACTGTGGCAGGCGTGGGTGCTGCGCTCACAGGTACAGGCGTCACATTCATCCCAGCGACTGCGCAAAATAGTGAACAAACTTGGTAGAGAAAGCGGGTTGGCTGGGTAATACCAAGTGCTCGGTGCGGTGGGCGGGGGGGGTACCTTACAGATTATTTAATGATACTATCTTTCTTGCTGGCAAATGAATTTAATAAAGAAAACGAAAAAAAGTATTCTTTCGGAATATTTCATATTTCTTTTAATCTGAATGATGATATTGGGGGGTTATATTAGCTGGATCTGATTTTTGAGGGGGTCATAACCCCCGTAACCCCCGTGCAAATTACGCGCATGGGCTTCTCCCTTGACTTTATGCCTCCACGTCCCCCCGATTATGCGCGAGTTTCTATTTCTGTCTATACGGAAATTTCTGTATTCTGCGACAGAGAGTCGCGTGTTATGACGCAATCGTTAGCCTATTTCTACAAAAACTGCTTCTACGGGGCCACAACGTAAGATACAAGGTAATGGAGCCTTTTATACATTGTCGTGTTTCTTTAGAAATAAACAATGGACAAATGGAGTCTTTAAATGCCTCAGATGTAAAGTTATTCGCTGTCAAAGTGGCGCCAAAATGAATGGGAGTCACTGGAATGCTAACAGCAGGTGAAGGCTTGTTAGCCAATGGCGGCCCCCGGGGAGACTTCAGTTTCCGGCTGATGGATTACCCCCTTGAATAAAACCTGCTCCAGAACAGCTTAGCCGTGTAGCGTAAGTTACCATGGTGATGAACAAAACTAAAAACCAATCCACTTTCTTGAGCCCGAAAAAGCCAGAGTTTGTCAAACTAATCTCGAACTTTTCCTGTTAGCAACTGAAACCGGCTTTGTGCAACAGGCCACAGGACGTTTTTATTGTTTTACTAGAGACAAAGAACTGCCTTACACTGACAGCTAAATGACAAGTCAGAAAGTTACAACTCAAAAACAACTTCCACAAAACTAACGTCACAGAATTAAAGTTTATTTCACTATACGTTTGCTTTATCTGAATCTCAGTTTATTTTAATTATTGGATCTGTAGAAACCCTTTACTCACAAAATCACACATCGTCAGTAAAATGGTCATTTTATTTGTTGTTATTGTACAGTTATTGTGCAAACATGTAATCACAGGCTTTATGTAACAAAAAAAAAATATATATATATATATATATATATATATATATTCACATATTAACAAGTAACTGATTGTTGTTGTTTTTCTGCATTTGTTTCCAGTCTCTTTTCATTTTGGTATTTCCTTGAGTAAGTGTTCTATCAAAATAATTTTCAATAATATTCTTGTTCTCTAACATATAAAACACAAATCTCGTGGCATTCACATCATCACTAGTTTATTAGCTAGCTACTTATGTGCATCTAACAAAACATTTGCTCACTGTGACACAGAACAATGCTTTCTAATATGTTTCCCTAGACTACTTGAAGATGTGAAACTCTTCTCACACTGAGTACAGTCGTACGGCTTCTCTCCAGTATGAACTCGCTTGTGTATTTTCAGGTGTCCAGACCGAGTGAAACTCTTGTCACAATATGAGCACTTGTGAGGTTTTTCTCCAGTATGAATTCGTTGGTGCCGTTTCAGATCACCAGATGTAGTAAAGCTCTTCCCACAGTCAAAGCACATATAATCTCTCACGTCATTATGTGTTTTCTGGTGCAGTTTAAAACTGTCCAGACATGAAAAACTCTTTCCACAGAGAGAACACACATAAGGCCTCTCATCTGAATGAACTTTCAGGTGTTTTTTTAGTCTTGATGATGAAATAAAATCTTTACCACACTGATCACAGTTAAATGGCTTTTCTCCAGAGTGAATGAGCAGATGATAACTGAGAGCTGATGCTTGAGAAAAACTCTTTCCACACTGAGTGCATGTATACGGTTTCTCTCCAGTGTGAATTCTCATGTGTGTGTTAAGGGTTGCAGAACAAATGAAACTCTTGTCACAATATGAGCACTTGTAAGGTTTTTCTCCAGTATGAATTCGTTGGTGCCGTTTCAGACCACCAGATGCAGTAAATCTCTTCCCACAGTCAAAGCACATATAATCTCTCACTTCATTATGTGTTTTCTGGTGCTGTTTAAAACTGCCCAGCCATGAAAAACTCTTTCCACAGAGAGAACACACATAAGGCTTCTCATCTGAATGAACTTTCAGGTGTGATTTTAGATGTGCTGATGAAATAAAATCTTTACCACACTGATCACAGTTAAATGGCCTTTCTCCAGAGTGAATGAGCAAATGATAACTGAGACCTGATGCTTGAGAAAAACTCTTTCCACACTGAGTGCATGTATACGGTTTCTCTCCAGTGTGAATTTTCATGTGTATGTTAAGGTCTCCTTTCTGTGTAAAACTCTTTCCACACTGAGTGCATGTATACGGTTTCTCTCCAGTGTGAATTTTCATGTGTCTGTAAAGGTTTCCTTTCAGTGAGAAACTCTTTCCACACTGAGTGCAGGTGTGCGTCTTTTTGGCTTTTGTTTTTTGAATTCTTAAGTTACGATGTTCCTCCTTCACTTCATTCAGTTCTTGTCTTTGCTCTTTCACTCTCACCTGGTCTAAAACACACAGAAAAACAGTTAGAATCAGTTCAAGTGAACCTTTATTTAATAGCAGAGAGCAACAGAGATCAGATCTTTCACTCTTTGTTCTGTCATTCACTTGTTAATATAGTCAAAATATGTTTGACAACTGCTATATACAAGGTTATGATCATTCATATGCATTTCTCTATCATTTATCATCCATATACTGCTTACTAATTCACATCTACCAAAGCGTCAACAATGAAGAATCAAGAATGGACACCAACCTATTTGTTCCTCAGTATCTTCATGTTTTATTCTGGATGGCTCTGGATCACTCATGTCTTCAATCTCCTCTTTAATAAACTCCATCTTTAACAGTCACACAGATTTCAGCTGCTACTCCTGGAGTTTGTCCTTCTCTTGTAGGATGATGGGAATATTCCCAGTATTTATTGGTGAATTGTTGTGGGAGGGGCTTCACTGCAGGTGTGAACTGTGATCACTGTGTTTTTATCCAATCTGCATTTAAAAAGTACAGGAACATCATGTTAAACTGAGCAGCTGAAAAACCTCTTGGTCTCCAAAAGTTCCCTGTTTTCAGCTCATTCATTATGGTGATGTCTGAGATCTTCAGTAAATTGGCACATTAAATCGTTTTATTGGTGTCAAGAGGCTTATGTGAAATTTCACTTCCATCGGGTCTGAAACATATTAAAACATTAAGTTGTTAGAATGAGTTCAAGGAGGATAAATGTGAATTTTCAAGCAAACCCTGATTTAATATCAGAAAACAAGTGAGATCTGCTTATCAAATATACTATTTTTGATGTACTAAAGGTTAGTTTTGTCAGCCTCTTGTTAATAGTCAATATGTGAACGACAACTGCTGTACAAGATTATGATATAAGTGTATTTATATTCCTAGATTATTTGCTTATTTTACAGCAAAAGTTAATAAAATCAGCCATGATTTTTTTAACGTTTAAAATAATGTTTTGTGTATAGAAGGTAATATAGAATTAAACAAGAGAATCTGGTTATTCAGACAATTATAGGCTAAATGTTTTGTCTTTAAACTTTCATACAAATCAAAATTTCACACCAGTGAATTTAGTCAAAAAAATGTCTTTAAATATATAGCAGATTTCACCCAGCAACACAAATGAATCACATCTGCAGTTTATTGACAGAGGACAGACAATGAACACAGTTCTTTCCAAATAGAGCTATTCAAGTCATCTGGTGAAATTGTTTTCATATCGCAGAAAAATAAAATAACGCAATGCAATTTTTTCCCAATATCGTGCAGCCCTAGAGACAATAAACACACACTTAGGTAAAGTTGGTCTTATATTCGCACATTCGCGGACTTCTGCGTTCAATAACTCGTGAAATGGAAGCTTTAGCGTTAAGTTCTGCCAGGAAGACTCAATTGTTGCGTCACTTATTAACTTACCTTCTCATCTATCCAATCGCGTCTAATACTTGCGGTATAAAAGACCAGTACTTACACATGTTTGAGTTCGCAGATGCTGACGCTTTCATTGATGCTCTCGTTCAGTCGCCAGCCAACATGTTTCAGGACACGCATATTTTCCTATCCAGCAAACACAACATAGAGACAAAGAAACTCGTAATCTGAAAACAGGCATAAAGTCAGGCAGCAAACTTACACAAATCAGTCCACAGTAGAAAACAGTCCAGGACAGGCAGCAAACAATCACGAAGAGAATAAACAGTCCAAGAGTAATCCACGGGAAGACAAAACCACAGGAAGAAACGCTCAGAGATGTTCACCAGGGCAAAACAAAACTTCCCACTGAGGAACTTCTTTTTCTTCTTCTTCTTCTTCTTCTTCTTCTTCTTCTTCTTCATCTGTGTTTTTTATTGGAAGTTTGCAAACAAAGTGCATTACCGCCATCTTCTGGATTGAGGTACAACTCACTGGGATGTAATTTTGTTATGTTACTAAACAAAAAACAAATACATAAAAATAAAATTAAATAAAAAATTAAATTAAATTAAATAATATAATAAAACCTAAATCCAATCTGCAAGCTGAGTTTCTTTCATAAAGATTATAACATCCTTAATTATAGATTGCGTGCCAGGCAAACTCAATAGGTTTTTTAAACTCAATCCATTTTCCGTTGCCCTCTCTAGTTCTTTCCTTTTTTCAGAGTACTTTCTACTCATCAAGAATATATGTTTTACATTCCCCACTTCTCCACAATAAATGCATAATCCAGTCCGGTGTTTTCCTATTAACTTTCGGCAGCTGTTTAATCTTGTGTCCCCTATTCTCAACCTTGTAAGCATAGTGTCCTCCTGTCTTCTTATAGCTGTTCTTTTTAACCATCACTTCTTTCTGGATGCTTTATAAATGTCTTCCTTTCTCTTTGATCCCATGTATCCTGACACTTTTTATTTATAGTATCTTTAATAATAACTTTAATTTCTAATTTGCTAAGTGGAACTTGTATAATTATGTGCTCTGCTTTCAGGGCTTCTTTTGCTAATGTATCCACCTTTTCATTTCCCTCAATACCCACATGCACTGGAATCCAGCAAACTGTACATACATTTTTTGTTGAGTTAATCTAAAAATGAATGCTTACATATAGATTTTCCACTCTGAATACTTGATAGCGAGGACACGGAATCTGAGAAGATTACTATCATATGCGGACAGAGGCGGCCTTACCTATGTTTCACCCGTTTCAATTGAAACGGGCCCCGCCCTCCAAGGGGGCCCCAACAGACCGGCAAAATCCCATTCATTTTCTCCGTAGGATATTCATTTTCAGCCATAATGTCTAAACCATTCAAGGTAGATTGACCACGAGCTACGAGGTTGTGAAATGAAAGTTTCTGCTCCTTTAAAAGCCACAAGCTACGAAATCAACCTTGTTATTTGCAAAACACTGACGTCTGATTGGTAGAACTCGCGGTTACCATGGCGACGTTTACCACTCCCGTGAACGGCTTAAGCGATCTGAATTATAATATCGGTAGTTTATGTATTTACACCTTTGCCTTTTTTTCCCGTTAGGTTAAAATGTTATTTTGAACAGAAAAAGAATTTTAAGAGGAAATGAAACTGAAAAACGAAAGATATCGGACAACAAAAGAAAAGCTTTATTCAGTCTACCAAAAGTGAAGTTACCCTGCGTGAAAGGGCGAGGCTTATTCCATGATATATAATTGTGTATAGTTTTAATCAAATAAGGTTGGATTATTTATATGTTGAGCTGCCTGTTCATAAAGCTGAAAGAGCACGTAATACAATTATATACCATTGATGCAAACCAACAGGAATCCTTGCTTTTTCTGCTCTATTATGTTTATGTTTTATGTAGGGCCCCATATTAGTTATTGAAACGGCCCCCAGATGCTTAAGGCCGCCACTGTATGCTGTTTAACTTCCTCTAACCCAGGGGTCTCCAACCTTATTTCATTTGAGAGCTACTTTTTAAAAATGAAAGTGGCTGAAAGCTACTCGTACTATCTAACACTTAAATCTGTTAAATAATGTATCATAACTCTCAAATTGACAAAAATCCAAACTGTTATACGCCTGAAAGAGTTTTTATATACACATCCCATTTTAATGTCAGTGTAACGGTTACCAGCTGGAGTGCCCTTGAGAGCCACCAGAGGGGACTCCACATCAGACTCTCACGTTCACTCACAGACTACATTTCCCATAACTCACTGCCCGGACTCATCACTGATCACAATCACCTGTACCTCATTCTCTGATTGCATTCACCTGTGTGTCATCATCCTGTTAGTCTCAGTCCATATATACCATGCTCATTCATTCACTCACCGCGAAGTCTTGTTTTGCTGCTGCGAACATTTCCAAGCGTTTTCCCATGTATATTCCTGCCTGTTTTGACCTTGTCTGTTCCTGATCTTCTGCCTGGTTCCTGTATCCTTCCTGTTTGCTGCCTGCCCTGATATCCTGCCTGTTTACTGACCACGATTTTGCCTGATCTTCTCTGCTGTGTTTGCTGGTGTTTGACCCTTGCCTGGTGACTACTCTGTTAAATAAAGGACAAGCTGCACTTGGATCTGAACGTCTCCTATGCTTCGTAACAGAAGACTTCGCCACACCGAGATCCAGCAGCGATGCCAACTATGAGTCCAGACGTCCAAATCATGCGTCTCCGTCAGGAGAATCGGTCCATTGAAGACTATGTCGCGGAGTTTATTGAACTGGCACATCTCACCTCAATGAACACAGAGTGCCAGATGATCTTTTTCCGAGGAGGACTATCTGAACCGCTCAGTTCATTCATGCCCTTGCATGACCCTCACGGGACATTAGAGAGCTATATTGAACTGGCCCTTCTGTTAAGCGGTTCAGTGTATACGGTGGGTGTGGTAGATGAGGAACTCCGTGAACCCACAGTATCCCCTCAGCCTGAGTTTCACGTCAGCCACGACGAGCCTGAGTTTCTCCACGTCACACCAACCATAAAGCCTGCCACCAGATCGGTCTATGGCCGCCCAGGACTGGTTTCCAGCGTGGCAGATTCCCCGCTGATGTCTGCACGTGGTGCCAAGAGGGCCATTGTTTCAGGGTCTCGTCCTGCCGAGACCGTCCAGCCAGAGTCTCATCCCGCAGAGACCGTCCCGCCAGAGACCGCCGAGCAAGAGACTGAGCTTCACGTCACTTCTGCCGATCCAGAGACTGAGCTTCACGTCACTTCTGCCGATCCAGAGACTGAGCTTCACGTCACTTCTGCCGATCCAGAGACTAAGCTTCACGTCACTTCTGCCGATCCAGCGACTGAGCTTCACATCACTTCTGCCAATCTTGATCCTGATCCTGAGCCTGATCCTGATCCTGTGTCTTCAGACAAGATGGCCGACTCCACGCCTGTGTCTTCGGACAAGATGGCCGACTCCACGCCAGTGTCTACGGACAAGATGGCCGCCTCCGAGCCAGTGTCTACGGACAAGATGGCCGCCTCCGAGCCAGTGTCTACGGACAAGATGGCCGCCTCCGAGCCAGTGTCTACGGACAAGATGGCCGTCGTCACAGAGTCTGTTCCAGTTCCTGAGCCGGTGTCTGTTCCTCAGCCGGTGCCTGTTCCTGCGCCGTGGCCGCCCGAGGGGTCTTCACTGCCGTGGCCGCCCGAGGGGTCTTCACCGCCGTGGCCGCCCGAGGGGTCTTCACCGCCGTGGTCGCCCGAGGGGTCTTCACCGCCGTGGCCGCCCGAGGGGTCTTCACCGCCGTGGCCGCCCGAGGGGTCTTCACCGCCGTGGCCGCCCAAAGGGTCTTCACCGCCCGAAGGGTCTTCACCGCTGTGGCCGCCCGAAGGGTCTTCACCGCCTGGGCCGCCCGATGGACTGTCTGCTCCGCCCTGGCCGCCCGATGGACTGTCTGCTCCGCCCTGGTCGCCTGCACAGCCTGCTCTGCCCTGGTCGCCTGCACAGCCTGCTCCGCCCTGGTCGCCTGCACAGCCTGCTCCGCCCTGGTCGCCTGCACAGCCTGCTCCGCCCTGGTCGCCTGCACAGCCTGCTCCGCCCTGGTCGCCTGCACAGCCTGCTCCGCCCTGGTCGCCTGCACAGCCTGCTCCGCCCTGGTCGCCTGCACTGCCTGCTCCGCCCTGGTCTCCAGTCTTGCCGCAGTCTCCAGGTCCTCTTCCGCTCCATGGGCCTGGCCCTCCATCCCGCCCCCAGGTCCGCCTCCGCTCCACCTCCCTCCTGGACAATTTGAGGAGCGTCTGGAATCCGCTCCTTAAAGGGGGGGCTATGTAACGGTTACCAGCTGGAGTGCCCTTGAGAGCCACCAGAGGGGACTCCACATCAGACTCTCACGTTCACTCACAGACTACATTTCCCATAACTCACTGCCCGGACTCATCACTGATCACAATCACCTGTACCTCATTCTCTGATTGCATTCACCTGTGTGTCATCATCCTGTTAGTCTCAGTCCATATATACCATGCTCATTCATTCACTCACCGCGAAGTCTTGTTTTGCTGCTGCGAACATTTCCAAGCGTTTTCCCATGTATATTCCTGCCTGTTTTGACCTTGTCTGTTCCTGATCTTCTGCCTGGTTCCTGTATCCTTCCTGTTTGCTGCCTGCCCTGATATCCTGCCTGTTTACTGACCACGATTTTGCCTGATCTTCTCTGCTGTGTTTGCTGGTGTTTGACCCTTGCCTGGTGACTACTCTGTTAAATAAAGGACAAGCTGCACTTGGATCTGAACGTCTCCTATGCTTCGTAACAGTCAGAGTTAAAAAACAATCAGTACATGGAAACCAGTACTTTTGATAATTACACTATAGTTGTCGACAAATAACAGTTACATAGTTATAGTGCATCTTAACTCTAAATTGAGCATAAAATACTACACCTGAGTTTTTGTAAAATCATTTCACACTTTAAATTCACAGAACAGTATCAGAGAAGTTGTTGGCTAAACTTACCAGTTGTTTATAGTTCATCATAACTCTCAAATAAGCAAAAATGCCTGAAATACACCTGAGTTTTTGTAAACTCATTTCATTCTTTAAATTTACAGAACAGAATTTGTTGTTGGCTACACATAGCTGTTTCATTAGTATGCATTAATAAAAGTCAAGTTCAAAGTTAATTAAACTGGGAAACAAAAAGCAGAACAACTTCAAATGTTGGTCTTCATTCTGAACTAATATGTATGCTACATAAATATAAGAGTGTAGCTAAATGACAAAAGTTCATGAAGGGACACATATGATGTGCATTCACAATTCTTACATTTAATGAGCTGACTGACACTGCATTGATTCCACAAGAGAGGTATATGCTGGTGTGTATGCACTTAGGTTCACTCTTATGCACTCATTCAAATGTTCATCTGTCAGTCTTGTTCTGAATTTACATTTGATCATATTCATATCAGAAAATGCTGCTTCACAAAGGTATGTAGATCCAAATAAAGCAGATGCTTTGAGTGCAGCTTGGTGAATGTTCTTGTAGACTCCTGAGTCTACCAGACTCCAGAAATGTGGTAAATGTTGCTGAGATTTTAACTGGATATTATTTTGGAGATTAATAACTTCCATCTCCATCTCTAAAGCACTGACATTAAAGAGTTCAGCTATCTGCTTTGAAATTTGATCAATGTCCATCTCAGTAAAAGGTTTGGCAATGAATGCCACACATGGCTCAAGTTTTTCAAAATCACTGAACCGTCCCTCAAATTCCTGCCCAAGCCTGGACAGGAGGTCACAATACTTGTGTACATCAAAAACTTCAGTTGCATCTGCGTGGCTTTCTAACATCTTCAACACTGCAATCTGTTGCTTTTCAATTGGTGAACGTAAAATGACAGTTTTGCTCTAAAAGCCTTCACAGCACTGATCATATCACATAAGGATTTGTCTTTACCTTGTAACTGAAGATTGAGCTGATTGAGTTTCTCTGTCACATCAGCCAAGAATGCGAGATCAAGCAGCCACACAGCATCAGACAACAGGTTGGTGTCTTCCCCCCTTGCTTCCATAAAAGCTTTAATTTCACTCAGCAGGGAAATAAAGCGGTGAAGTACCTTACCCCTACTCAACCATCTGACTTCTGTGTGAAATAAGAGATCACCATACTCTGCAGAAAGTTCATCAAGAAACACTTTGAAGCATCTGTGTTGTTTGGACTTTGCGCGAATTGAGTTGATAATCTTAACAACCGGAGTCATGACATGATCAAAGCGCATAACCTTACTGCAGATTGCCTGCTGATGAATGATGCAGTGATAGTTCAGAAATGCAGGAAAATCTGGGTCGTTCTTGCAATGCGCAATAAATCCAGAGTGGCGCCCGATCATGGCTGGCGCTCCGTCTGTTGTCATAGATACCAGCTTTTCAAGGGGCACGCGTTTTTCCACGCAGTACGTCTTGAAAACGCTGTAGATGTCGACTCCTCTGGTCGACGTTATCAGAGGAAGCAATGCAAAAAACTCCTCCTTGGAGGAAAAATCATGAAAAACCATCCGAATGAAAACAGCCAACTGAGCTGTATCACTCAAGTCCACCGATTCATCGCACTGAAGTGAAAACCACGTACACCTTTCCATGTCCCGCTCTAATTGTCCGATCGCATCTGAAGCCAGCAAATAAACTCTCCTTGCCATGGTGTTGGCACTGAGCTGGACATCAGCGATAGCAGACAAAATTTCCGCCTTGCTTTTGTGGTCCTTGAATAAAGTTTCGGCCACCTCTGTCATCACGTCCTTTACCATGGCGCCATCGGTGAATGGTTTCTTGTGTTTTGTTAAGATGCGCGCCACTTTAAATGACGCCTCCGTAACAGCATTTCCTCTCTTTATCGGTTTGATGAATAAAGATTGCTGTTTTTGTAGTGTTGCTTTCAGCTGTTTTACCTTTTCAGTCCGCAGCCTGCTACCCACAGGAAAGTCTCGTGCTAAGTTCCCGTGAACTTGAGTGAAATGCCGCTCAACGTTACACTTTTTACCGACAGCAATGCTAGCGCCGCAAATTAGACACACACATCTTTCGTCTACATTTGTAAAGAAAAAATCACTTTCCCATTCTTCATGAAAATAGTATGTTTTTTTCCTTTTCTTTGCATGGCTGCTGTCTTTACTCATTCTGATGCGACGTTCTCAAGCTAGCCTTATTCGCGTGATGACGTGCTTGATTGAAACATTGACGTTGTATACGTCCATATTTTTATTTTTTATTTTTTTATTCTGTTATAGTGTAATTACATCTGTTTGTTCATAAATAAATAAAAAATGACCTCAAATCATGTCAAATAAATGTCAATATGTCAAATAAATACTTAATTTGCACATGAGGGGTGGGACATCCAACTATATTGCCTGACTCTGATTGGATGAAAATTACGTCTTGGCGAGCTACCTTCAATCATGCCACAAGCTACTGGTAGCTCGCGAGCGACGTGTTGGAGACCCCTGCTCTAACCCATTGCAGTGCTAAAATAATGGTCATTATTTCAACTGAGAAGACTGAGAGCTGATCTGAAGTTATTTTTTGGATGTTAATGTTGTATTTTGCGATGAATAAAGCTGAACCCGTCTTGCCAGTTATTGGATCTGGATCCATCTGTGTATATCTGTATTGAGTCACGACATCAGGCGCGTCGTTAGACATCCGGGGCTTAACATGTCGTGTTAAAACGTTAAATCTGGTGTTAACGAGGTTCTAGCGTTTGGCGCCATCTGACCATAGCATCTGACCGAGATTAAATACATCGACTAATGTTTTGCTTTAAAATGATTAATGCTTTTTTTTTTTCTGCTAACTGTAGTTTAACCATGGAAAATAAGTGGGGGGAAATTTTCGATTACATATTAAAGGGGTCATACCCTGCAGACCTAAATAAAGGGCAGAAGCAAAGCCTTAGGAAATACTCATCGAAATTCAGGATTCACGGTCAGTATTTACTACCAAAATACGTCTATACTGACAGGAATATGCATGTGTTCATATTTTGTATTATTTATTATTGGTTATGTCAATATTCCTTAAAGATGGAGAACTACTTTTTGGCAGTCACAGACGAGTCATAAAGACAAAGGAGGAGGCTATGAATTTATTTAAAGAATTTCATGCCTCTCCTATTGGAGGACATACAGGAACCTTAAAAACACGTGCTGCCATGTGCTCACGGTTTTACTAGTATGGCATGACAGTGGACATTGACAAATGGGTATGTAGTTTATCTGTTCATCCATAAGCCAACATTTGTGTTTTTATACGTCTATATCTTCATAATAATAGCTATGTGAAACTTACTGTTTGTAATTTCTCAAAGGACCACCCCTGAATGCAGTTAAAACTCTGGACTGCATCAAGGTCACCATCTTTTTGTAATCGACTAGATTTTAACAATTCTAAGCATTATTTTATTTAATCTATTATGCATCCAAATCACTAATAGGTATCTGCTGTGTGGGAGCTCATTGGCATTGATCTCACTGGTCCACTCCAAAAAACATCTACTGGGTATCAGTATATATTGACTGTCACTGACTATTTTTCCAAGTGGGTGGAGGCCTTTCCTCAAAAGACAAAGTCTGCATTGGAAGTAGCCAAAAACCTTTGTACAGTCATTTATAGACATGGCTGCCCTAAGCGCATACTGTCAGACCAAGGACGGGAGTTCGTCAATCAAGTAAGCTTCACTTTATGCATTTTGTTCTGATTATGTAATTTGTGATTTGGTGCTCAACAAATAAAGATTTATTGATTGAAATATTTGACAGAAGTACTAAAAACCAAATAAAAATAATGTTCTGAATTTTTTTCCATTATTATTAAATTTTTTTTTTTTAGATCAACAGCTCACTTTGTGTGCTGCTCTCCATTGAGAGGAGTGTTACGGCTGCTTACCATCCCCAAACAAATGGGCTTGATGAGAAAACCAATGATAACATCAAACGGTAAGAATCAGGGGCGTCACTAGGATTTTCATTTTAGGGGGGCTAAGCCCCCAATGAAGGTATAATTTTTTTTTTATTATAAAAAAAGGTAACACTTTAGTTAAGGATCTAATGCTCACTATTAACCAGTTTCATTACCATGCAAAGGCAGGGTTTTATCATCACTGTGGTCCCAAATGTGAGGTATGGGCAGATAGGGGGGTCCTGGGTTTCCCCGAGAAAATTTTGATATTTTGATTTCTCTGATCTGCATATTTTAAGATGTTTTGAAGGCCAAAAAATTTGGATAAAAGCTTTAAAACCATGTCAGTGGGCAGCTGATTATTTTTCTCTCCTCATCAGCAGCATCACTCTTTTTCTCTTTGTTTTTCTCTTGCCCTGTCTCTTCCCCTCCTAAAGCTGAGCTTTGACTGATATAGGCTTTTCATTTTTGTCAGTGAAGAAAGTAAACATAGGGTCAACTGATACTGAACTGTTACTGAAAGCTACTAAAGCTAGGTAATTAAGTTTATTAAATGCATTCACAATATGTAGGCTACACATTCATTATTGATCTTATGCCTAATACAGGGCTGTAGACAGGGCTTTATAATCAAAGAGGTTCAAATTATTTATTTCTCTGATGTGCATTTCAAGACGTTTTTAAGACCAAAAAAGGATAAGAAATAGCTTTAAAACCATGTCAGTGGGCAGTAGATTATTTGTCAATACCTGCTCTCTTCTCATCTCCATCACTCTTTATTTTTTCTCAGTCTCTCTTCATTTCTTTCTCTTCCCTTCCTAAACCTGGGCTTTCTTAATTTACTAAAGGCTACAATTTGTATTATATTCTCAATATGTACACATTCATTATTGATCTTGTGCTGAAAACGGCTTTGTTAATGTTTCTTGTCCCCTAACAATGACAGTAAACTAATTATTACATTAGCCTACATAAGTCACGTTACATAGGCCTATTTTCAGTTCAAAATGGCGAAATTAGACAAACCTATATTAGTTTGCCTGATTATTTTTTGTCATTCGTTTAACATTTATGCTCTAAAAAATGTCAAATATGAAATGCTACTTACATCTTATCTCGCACTTAACCGTACGCGTCGAGTCGCACTTTTAAAATTTGCGCTCAGCAGCGTCTGTGAACATAAAGCCCGCCTACTTTGATTTGATTGGTCATCTCAAATATTCTGACATTGACGAGCAGTGACAGACCAATGAGGCTCAATTGAACACACACACTGTTACGATCTTTAAAAGGCCTAGGGAATGTCGTACCATTAAAATATTAATATGCTGCTAGATGTGAAGTAGACTGGAAGAACATGTCAGACAAACTTTGAAAGAGAGAAATTACTGGATTTTATTTCACAGAAAAGCCGAAGCCACTAGTTCCAGTAACATAACAATGAATGCGCTATGTACAATGCAACAAAAAAAAAGATTGGGAGACAAACAAAAAGTGGCACCAAAGAACATAATATAACAAAAACAATCCTTAAGCTAACCCTAACCCTACACTGTTAAAAATTACCTGTAAATTTTACAGTAAAATACTGGCAGCAGGGTTGCCAGCCAGTTACTGTATTTTTTACAGTAGCGTCTGTAATTTAATTTACAGAATTTTACTGTATTCTCTGATTACAGTATTTTTTAAATTGTTGTATTTTTTACAGTAAGTTGCATGATTCTCTGTATTTACTATATCTAGAGGAAATATGTAAAATTCAGTATATACAATATATTTTCCTGATGTCTGAATATTAATGACTGGAAGCTGAATTTGAAATGTTAATTATTCATGTTTTTAAATACATTAAGTGTTGTATAATGCACAACTTAATTCCCCTATTTTACTTCACAAAACAAACAAATTATTCAACATCCTAATCTTGAAAAACAGGTCAACATTTGTTTAATTTATAACTTTAAAATATGCATGAAAAAAAGTAATAAAACAGTGTATTTTGTATATTTTGATTTAATTTTTATTTACAAACTTGTATTTTTTTTTTTAAATGGACATGAAATTAAATATTTTTTAATTACTTGAAACAAATTAGCCGTCATGGCCCTTCACACAAAGAAGAAATACGCAAACGACATAACATTTAAAACAAGTTGACCAACATGATCATAATAAAATGGTTCTGAAAAACACAGACACGGATGAATTTTCACCACTTCATTACCAGACAAACATATCCAAACAACAAGGCCCCAAGTGAGTCCAACAAACTTCTGATCAAAAATGGAGAATAATTCAGCTCCAGATGCTGTTCCATCACAGGATGCAAAGAGTGGCTAGAAATATTGAAAAGGACAATATATTAGATATATTACAAAACATAATGATATAGTCAGAGACAGATAGAGGGATGACAGATACAGGGTAACACTTTATAATAACTACACGCTAATAATCATTAGTTAAGCATGAGTAAACAGTTAATTCATCATTCATAAAGCATTAATAGACATTAATAAGCAGTTTATAAATACAGCTATAAATGCTTTCTTCTTGATTTACAAGCATATCTATAATTTATTTAATAATTGTATTTTCATCCTTTATTAATGATCAATTTATTATTTCTAAATGATTAATTGCATTTTTTATAAACCAGTTATTTAAGAGTTTTCAGTGGTTCACAAGATACTTAGAACGTGTATAATGTTTATTAACATTTATTTAAGCTGTAATTCAGGGTTAATTCGGGTAGTTATAAAGCATTTAGTAGTGGTCAGTTAACTATGTTTGTGAGCTCATCTAAAGTGAGGACTATTCATGCCTTGAAAGCATTTATAAAGGAGATTTAAAGGCTGTTAAATATTTCTCTGTTCTGTATCACTGTGTTGTGTTTGTTACATTTTACTGTTTAGAAGATTGATGCGCCTTTAAATCTCCTTTATAAATGCTTTACAAGGCATGAATAGTCCTCACTTTAGATTAGCTCACAAAATAGTTAACTGACCACTACTAAATGCTTTATAACTAGGCCTACCTGTATTTACTACATTTACTTACACTTTCTAAGTGATCTTATGAATAACTGACAACTCTTAAATAACTGGTTTATAAATAATGCTATACTTCATTTAGAAATTATTAATTGATCATTAACAAAGTATGAAAATACAATTATTAAACGCATTATAGATATGCTTATAAATCAAGAAAAAAAGTGTTTATAGCTGTATTTATAAACTGCTTATTAATGTCAATTAATGCTTTATAAATGATGAATTAACTGTTTACTCATGGTTAACAAATGATTAATAGCATGCAGTTATTATAAAGTGTTACCGAAAAGATAGATCTTTGTGTGTGTGTGTGTGTGTGTATGTGTGTGTGTGTGTGTTACTTACATTTCAGAAATTCCACTGATAACCCATCACTTTGCTGGGAAGAGTGGCAAGATGTGGGCTCACTGCAACCTGTTTCTTCTGTACCATTTGCCCTGTCGTTTTAGATGGCAATTTTCCTCTGTACTTCTTTGTTCCTCTCTCCGGATTGATACATACAAAACACCTAAAGGGCCAGGAAACAGACAATATGTAATTAAGACTCATTAACTCAACAGATAATATATCTAAAGGCAAGTTCTGATATTGAATACATGTGTAAAATGCAGGTACTGAAGTTGTTAAAAATTCAATCATTACCTTTATATGAACTCCAAGTGCCTCCTCCTGATTGCATTATGTAATATGCAGTGAACACTATATGGCAAGGCCAGACAGGAAGCTGGGCTGAATGCTCTCCTCACACACAACTTGGCCTTCCAGTGTCCACTTGTCAAAGTGTCTCCTAAAACAATAGCACATGTGGCCAAATTTATTTTTTACTATACCATTTTTATTTTTCAGCTTTTTACATTTAAACTATATTTTAGTATTCAGAGTGCAGGAACTCTTTCTTTTAAATAAAATGAACAAAGGCATTATACAAACAATAAGCTAATTACACACACAGAGTAGGCTATAGCTAATAATATAGCATATGTACTGAAATGTAAGGGATGTTTACACCGGCATATTAAACATGCGACAAAACTGGTATTACAGCACCATTCAAAATGTAGGCTAACGTTATATGACACACATCCTCTGTGAGTCTGACGCAAGGTTTTAACAACGCCGTTTTAATTTCGGCGCCCATTTTAACAGATGACTTCATTTTGATTTGATTTACACCATAAAATAATCACGAGGAAGTGTGCTGATCAACACGAAGCTCGTGTGAATACCGACTGTTGTCATTAAAGCATGTAATTCTTAACATAGGAGCCCATAGATCCCGAGGAATATGTGAAATACTACCGCGTCCGCGCTGCTGAAGCCCCGCGCAAGTCTCCCTCGCGCCCCGCGGTCGGAGGATGTGTGATCCGGGGTTAAGTTACCAACATGAACCGCGAATATAACGTGACCTTCATAGTCTACGAGTAACCCAACAAGAAAAATAAGAAACTGAAATAATAAGTCACTTACCACAGAGTTGAGAATCACTCCTCTTGCCGCCGCCGACACGACCGTTGAAGATCACAATGCCTCTGAAGATTTGAAATTTACAGCAATATTCTGTATTTTGAATCAAACCACCGCGCGACCCCAGAATGCATTGCAGTTTACAGCAATATGCTGTATTATTAGAAAACAGCCAGCTGCTGTAAAATAATGCTGTAATTTTTACAGCAATTCATTACAGTGTACTCAAAACAAAATGTGAAAAAGAAACCGCAATCTTCACGCACGCGGCGCTGACTAACCTAACTAAATAACAAAAATACAAGGGTTGGCGCTCACCACTAACCTAGTGTATATAACAGAGACAGACCTATGGGCAGTGTATACCGCGGCATACTGACCTACCGTTCGTACTCCCAGCTTATCGTAATGCCTCTATGATATAGAATAAACACACACCAATACATCGCACATCACTCAGTTCGCTACACAGAGCTACATCGCACATCACTCAGTTCGCTACACAGAGCTCAACACGCCACAGGAGAGAGTGAATGAACGCACCACAGGAGAGAGAGAGAGAGAATGAATGAACGCGCCACTCTCTTAAAACCAGCTGAACGGCCTTTGATTGGTTCTGGAACGTCGCCTCAATGATGACTAACGTCCGGCTCAGCCAATCACAGCAATCCTGCGAGCAGAGATAGTGAACTAGGGACGAAAGAGAAACACAATGAACATAATGGCCAACACGTGAAACAGATCAGTGAAACAAAACGTGGAACGTAACACACACCCTGCCCTCTGTCTGATGTGCTCTCTGCTCGGCGCCGCTGCGGATTGAAGATGAAGAATGCGCTGAATCTGATTATAACAAGTCTGAAGCGAATACAAATTTGTGTAGCCTACATTAATCACACATTTTTAGGGGGGCTAGGCAGAAGTTTAGGGGGGCTGAAGCCCCCCTAAAAAGGGCCTAACGACACCCCTGGTAAGAATTCATTATTCTTGTGTTTATTTTCAGGGTTTTGTTTATTTGGTAGCTCTTCTGATCATTATTACCAAAGTGTATTGAAAGTTGTTAGTTTCTGTCTTGAAATGCATTCATTTAGAAATATATAAATATAAATTATTTTTCTAGGGCACTTAAAAAGCTTGTTAATGATCAGCAGGATGACTGGGACCAGTACCTAGATGCAAGTCTTTTTTCGCTGAGATCCAAAATGCAAACCACAACAAATTTCTCACCATTTCTTTTAATGTATGGGCGAGAAGCTAGATTTCCATCAGAAGTGCCTGTTGAACTGCCGGTAGGTTTTTTCTTGAAAATGGCTTTCTGTTAGGGCCAAGCATCAAGTGACCAAACATTTTAAAAGATCAGCTTAGATAATATAGCTTAAAATATTATCTAATATTAATATTTAGAATATAGTTAGAATTAAACATTGGGTAACAAAATGCTTTCCATTTGTTCTCTTTCTAATGCAATGTTCAGGTTTGACTGTATTATAAAGTAAAACTGGCAGACATAGGGTAATTACAAACGCAGCTCGAAGTTCCCTTGAAAGGGAACTGAAAGATAGGCTGCTATCTCAGACTGACTACAGGAGCGAAATGAAATTAGCGGAAGTAGGAAGTCTGACGTAGTCAGGCTACAAAAGAAGATGCACGTCTGAAAAACGTCGACTACGACAATCCGTCCAACGATCATTACACAAAGGCTGTCACCGAATTAATTGACACTTTGAAAGCAGTTTTTCCACGCACGTTGGACATTCACAAAGTTCGCCAGTGCACTCAGGGAAAAGATGAAACTACAGAAGCTTATTTCCTCCGACTGAAAGAGTGTTTTGATCGACATGGGGGAATGGATAAGAGAAAACCACCAACGGACGCGGAGGCGCAACCTTTGGGGTCTGATCCATATGATGACTATCTGAGAACTTTGTTCTTGGATGGACTGAATAAAGAAATTTCAAGGGCAATTCAGAAATCCTGTGTTGGATGGCAGCTGGCCTCCTCAGCAGAGATCAGGCGGCATGCGAGACACCATGAGGAAATAATAAAGACACAGCAGACAACCAAGACCGCGAAGCAAGAGAAAGATCTTTCACTCGCTCTGATAGCATTGCACATGAGTGGCAAGGACTCCAATCCACACCGCTATAACCAGAGAGGTGATGGAGGAAGAGGCAGAGGACGTGGTCGTGGCAGAGGTAGACATTTTTCACAAAATCAACAACGTCCAGACCGAGACCCTTGTTTCATTTGTGGACAGAAAGGACATTGGCGTGACACTTGTCCGCAAGCAGCCTACAAAGCAAACCAGGCGGATTGAGAGAGGGAGGGTGCGAGCAACGGGTTTCAAGCATTGTTATTTTTAATTGAAACCGGTGCGACTTTTTCCATAATAAAAGAAACAGAGTTGACGCAGCCAGTTTCACTTTCTGGAAAAACGACTTTTTCCAGAAGTGCAACAGGTCACGTGGTTAAAGAATCATTCTCAACGCCGCTTGAGTGTTCAATCGATGAGAAGAAATTTGAGCATTGCTTTCTGATTACTCAAACATGTCCAGTTAATCTGATGGGTCGGGATTTACTTTGTAAACTGGGTATTTCTGTTCACTGTACTACTAAAGGGATTTCTGCTGACATTACTCCAGTGTTTAATTCCTTGTTGGAAAGAGGGGTCATTGTTGAGTGTCCGGACTCGCCTGTCCGCACGCCGATCTTTCCAGTAAAGAAAATTAGAGATAAAAATCAAGCTGTCGAATACCGTTTCGTCCAGGACTTAAAAGCGGTGAACGAAGCCGTTCAAGCGCGAGCTCCTTTTGTTCCTAATCCATATACGATTTTATCTGATCTTATCCGTATACGATTTATCAGAAGAAGCATTAGAACAACAGGAGAGAACATCAGTCTGTGAGTGTTTACTTTCTCATTTGATTTTAGCGCGGCTCTTCGTTACTGTGTTTACCCTGGTAAAAACGCGCGTGTGTTTGTTTGTGTCGTGACTGAGTTTCGCTGGCCAAATAGTTGGGCGTGGCCAAAGCCAGTTAAAGTACTTAATCTAGGCATTTGCTAATAGTTGTTAGAAGAAGCATTAGAACAACAGGAGAGAACATCAGTCTGTGAGTGTTTACTTTCTCATTTGATTTTAGCGCGGCTCTTCGTTACTGTGTTTACCCTGGTAAAAACGCGCGTGTGTTTGTTTGTGTCGTGACTGAGTTTCGCTGGCCAAATAGTTGGGCGTGGCCAAAGCCAGTTAAAGTACTTAATCTAGGCATTTGCTAATAGTTGTTAGAAGAAGCATTAGAACAACAGGAGAGAACATCAGTCTGTGAGTGTTTACTTTCTCATTTGATTTTAGCGCGGCTCTTCGTTACTGTGTTTACCCTGGTAAAAACGCGCGTGTGTTTGTTTGTGTCGTGACTGAGTTTCGCTGGCCAAATAGTTGGCCAGCCAAACTCACACAGCTTTTAAGCAGCTCCCACAGCTTTTAAGCAGGCTCGAGTAACCCCACTGCTTAAGAAACCCAATCTAAATCCAGCACATCTAACAAGTTACAGACCGGTATCTCTTCTTCCATTTGTCGCGAAAACACTTGAACGAGTTGTTTTCAACCAGATCTCCTCCTTTCTTACACAGAACAACCTCTTGGACGACAATCAGTCTGGTTTCAAAAGCGGACACTCAACTGAGACTGCCCTGCTCTCAGTAATTGAAGCTCTGAGACTGGCAAGAGCAGCTTCCAAATCCTCAGTCCTCATCCTGCTGGATCTGTCTGCTGCTTTTGACACAGTTAACCACCAGATCCTCCTGTCAATCCTAAAGATGAAGGGCATCTCGGGAACTGCACTCCAATGGTTCGAGTCTTACCTCTCAGGTAGGTCCTTTAGGGTGTCGTGGAGAGGTGTGGCGTCTAAGGCCCCAACATCTAGCTACTGGGGTGCCTCAGGGCTCAGTGCTTGGACCACTCCTCTTCTCCATCTACATGACATCACTAGGATCTGTGATTCAGAAACATGGCTTTTCCTATCATTGCTACGCTGATGACACGCAACTCTACCTCTCATTCCAGCCTGACGATCCGACGGTAGCTGCTCGTATCTCAGCCTGCCTGACAGACATCTCTGGCTGGATGAAGGACCACCACCTTCAACTAAACCTTGCGAAGACAGAGCTACTTGTGGTCCCGGCCAACCCAACACTTCATCACAACTTCTCCATTCAGCTAGGCTCGTCATCCATAACTCCATCAAGGTCAGCTAAGAACCTTGGGGTTGTAATTGATGATCAGTTGAAATTCACAGACCACATTGCTAGAACTGCCCGGTCCTGCAGATTTGCTTTGCACAACATTAGGAGGATCAGGCCCTTCCTTACAGAGCATGCCACACAACTCCTTGTCCAAGCACTTGTTTTATCCAGACTGGACTATTGTAATGCTCTCCTGGCTGGTCTTCCAGCTTGCTCTGTCAAACCTCTACAATTGATCCAGAATGCTGCAGCCAGAGTAGTCTTCAATGAGCCGAAGAGAGCACACGTCACTCCTCTCCTCACACAATTGCACTGGTTGCCAGTTGCCGCTCGCATTAAATTCAAGGCACTGACGTTTGCCTACAGAACAACCACTGGCACTGCTCCCTCTTACCTAAACTCATTACTTCAGACTTATGTGCCATCCAGAAACCTGCGCTCTGCTAGCGAATGTCGTCTTGTGGTACCATCTCAAAGAGGCACAAAATCTCTTTCTCGGACCTTTACCATGGCTGTTCCCTGTTGGTGGAATGATCTGCCTAACTCAACCAGAGCTTCTGAGTCAGTAGCCACTTTCAAGAAACTGCTGAAGACATATCTTTTTCGGCAGCACTTGATTCAGTAGAATTAACACTTTCTCTTCTCTTCTATTCTATAAAAAAAAAAAAATAAAAAAAAAAAGAAACTGCACTAAAATTTAACAGAGGGGTTATAGCACTTACGTATTGTTGTCCTACTGTTAGTTTAACTGCTTCTATTGTTCTCATTTGTAAGTCGCTTTGGATAAAAGCGTCTGCTAAATGAATAAATGTAAATGTAAATGTAAATGTTTATCTCAAATTTCAGCTGACACCAAGTGTTACACACTGGTTGACATTTCAAATGCGTTTTTTAGTGTCCCAGTACATCCTGACTCACAATTTTGGTTTGCATTTAATTTCAATGGCAAACCGTATACATTCACGAGGTTTTGTCAGGGGTTTTGCGAAAGTCCAACTATCTTTAACGAAGCTTTGAAACGCAGTTTAGAAGATTTGGTTCTTCCGCCTGGCGTGGCTCTATTACAGTATGTGGATGATTTGTTGCTTTGCTGTCCAAATGAACAGATCTGCAAGCAGGCTACCATCACATTGTTGACTTATTTGGCAGAACGGGGCCACAAGGTCAATCCAAGTAAGGTGGCTGTAAATAAAACTGAAGTCACCTTTTTGGGTCTTGTGTTAACGCCAAATGGGAAATCGTTATCTGACAAGAGGGTCACTGCAATACAGAACATTCCTAAACCGACCACCAAAAAGCAAATGATGTCGTTTTTGGGAATGACCTCGTATTGTAGGACATTTATTCCTTGTTACAGCGAAAAGGAAGGGCCTTTGTCAACGTTAATTTATGGACAGGATATGGCAGCCTATGACAAATTGACATGGACCGCAGAGGCAGAAAGTGCCTTTTGTGAAATGAAACAGGCATTGCTGAGTTCTCCTACGCTTGGCATACCAAATATGCCTTTCACACAGACGGTTGCTGAGAAAAATGGTTACATGTCTTCTGTCCTGCTACAGGAGCATGGGGGCAAATTGAGGCCAGTGGCATATTTTTCAGCTTAGCTAGACGCAGTGGCTAGAGGACTTCCTGTTTGTCTAAGGGCTGTGGTAGTGGCTGAGAGAGCTGTGGTAGCCTCTAGAGATTTTGTGGGTTTCAGTGATTTGACACTGCTTGTGCCACACGCTGTGTCAATGATACTTTTAGAACAGAGGACTTCTCATTTGTCGGCTGCACGATGGCTCAGGTATTCCTTCGTTTTGCTGGAAATGCCTAATGTTACAGTTAAACGTTGTAATGTTTCTGAATCCAGCTACTTTACTCCCTACAGAGCTGGATGGTGAACCTCACTGTTGTGTTTCAGCCTTGGAACAGATATGTAGTCCTAGACCAGACTTGACAGACGAGGCTTTACCCAACAGTGACATGATACTTTATGTGGATGGGTCATCCAGTAGGGATGGCAAAAACAGAGCTGGGTATGCAGTTGTCTCCTTAACTGAGGTTCTGGAACAACAATCATTGCCGTCACATTTTTCAGCACAAGCTGCTGA